GGAATATCCCTGTGGCCAGTTTGGGTCAGCTGTCCTGGCTGTGCTCCCTCCTCGCCTGCAGAGTACGGGAAGCTGAAAAGTCCTTGACTTAGTATAAACACTGCTCAGCAACAACTAAAACATCAGCGTGTTATCACATTATTCTCATGCTAAATCCAAAACACAGCACTGTACCAGCTACTAGGAAGAAAATTAACTCCATCCCAGCCGAAACCAGGGCAATATCGTGCCACAAATACATGACACTTTGCAAATGATCGACATGACAAAAACCTCAGCGTGGCAAAATAATCACCAGGCTTCTACTGACCATAAAAAAACCACATCCTGATGACCAAACCATCAAACACCATGGCAGGACTGAGGAGACACTGGGACCCAGACCAGGAGAAAGCACTTTGTCAAGAGTGCTTTGACCAAACTAACCAATAGTCATACACAAAGAAGGAGCAACTAATTGAGATATGGCAAGAGAGACTATTACACAGGTGGGATGCTCCGTGGAAGAAACGGAGAAGAAGGGAGGACACCTCAGCTGAAGCTGCTAGTACACGGGCAAATAGGGATAGAAGATTAGGTGGGAGGCAGAAGGAGGTTAAAGGAGAGGACCAGAGTCTTGCTCTGAATTCAGGAAAGAGTACGAAGGGACAAGGCATGACCAAAGCTGTGGAGGAAGAAGTATTTTTTGCAGCAGCATTTTAAGGAGCAGAAGCTCAGAAGCAAGGAAGCCGTTGCCATAGTCCAGACAACGAACGGATGAAAAGGTAGGGTGGGGAGTGGCTGGTATTTAGATGCATTTATTTCTGCCTCAAATCTACTGACCAAAGAGCTGAAATATGACAGATTTTACTTTTTGTTTTCCAAGCTGGTTTCTAAAGGCTTGTTTCCACATGCCTCAAAATGTCTTCTGCAACTCAGTGAACTGAACGTTACGGACACTTATAAAACAGCTCTTCCAAAGGCAGTTCCAACTTGAAGATACCAAAAATAGGGATGCAATTATTTTAGAAAGCCCTGTCCTCAAAACAGGACCCATTTTCCATGTTTTACTCAAGCGCATCTGTTTTTACAGGAAACAAAAGCTGCATCTCAAATGCAGGGAAAATATTCCTCAGACAGCACTAAGAGAAAGCTTCACGTTCAAATGCCAGCGGCATGTACGTTGTTGAACAGGGGATGAGATTAAGTTTCTGATGTACCAGCCGGACCAAGTTATTGAAAGAAGACTTAGAATGAGCCAAAGTAGTCTGTTATGTACAAAGTCAAAACATCCCTTACCATGAGAACAACACTGCATACATTACAACAACCAAACTGTGCTGGTCTTGCCCAACTTCAGTCACACAGAGGGTGGTTGCAATCCATCACCTCATCTAGACTTGCCCAGCTAGCCGAGACTTTTGCAAACATTGTGTTATCCCTGAAATGGCTGTGGGCAGTCAGACAGCCACCCTCTTGCTCAACAGCAAGATGATGGTTTCCCAACCATCACATCCTAGGGTTTAGGATGAGTTAGCTCCGCATATTCATTTGCAAAATGAATTAATTCCTTCTGCAGCCGCTGTAGCAGCCTTTGTCTTCCTCAGAAGTCAAATCTGACCTAGCCATTTTGGCACGGTTTCTCATTTACTAATTCAAAGAAATTCAGCTCGATCTTTCCAAAGCCTTACTGAACTTTCCAGAAAGCCAAAACCAATCTCCAAAGCATTTCACCCTGCTCAACTCTGTCTGGTTAACTGACAACTCAGACCTTAGAGGCCAAGCTCCTTGGGAAGTACCAGCCTCCCTCCGCTGACCAAAGAGGGAGGCCACAGCAACCTGCCTTCTAACGTAGACATTGTGGCTTCGTAGTTAAAACCCAGAAAAGGGTCCAGGTTACAGAATCCCTTTATTTTCCATATCTGTCTATGGCTGGTTTCTCTCCAACGCTATACACACGTCTAATAAGAATCACAAAATGAACGGCTTCTACTAAGAGACTGCTATTTCCAAATGTAACACCAACGTCATTGTGGAGCACCAAAGCTAACTCCATTAATTTTGACATCTTCATGGGGGACAGAAGCAGAAGGGAACTGCATGTATTTAGGCAGTGCATTTTCATCCACGAGATGCCAACAGTCCTCTAACGCACAGCTATACTCTAAACGTTAGGGTGATACTGGTTTGGGTTTCCCAGTTTGGAACAGTTTGTCTGGATAAAACCAGGGACCTGTACTCCCAACCGAGATGGGAGGAAGGACTTGGTCACATATTTCATTATGCAGCCGGCTGGCGTGTGACAGAGGGAAACATGGTCTAGGGGCTAAAACAAAGAAACAAGTATCAGGATACAGGTCCAGCACTGGAACCTGTCCAGATACTAACATGACCATAGCACTAGAATCACCCTCCGTACTGGGAAGGCTGGGGAAGAGGCACATCTCCTATATTTACACTCCCACTAACATTACTGCCCCAAGAAAGTGAGTTTCTTGTCCACGAAACACTAAGAGATCCCCTAAAGAGTCCTAAATGGTATGGACGGGAAACTAAATTCAGTCTGGACCACAAACAGAAGTTTTCAAACTTCTGTTTTCTATCCAGGCACGTGCTAGAGGAACTCAAGCCTGTGGGACAGCAGAAGTGTTGTTGTGAGATTGTTACGAACCTACTGAGGTTACGGCTAAAGCCAAATCACCTTCAAACTCACAATCCTCCCTAAAAGGCTGCTGGAGTTAGATGTTGCTGTTGTCCAACGCTGTTTACAAGTCAGACTGTAATATTAGAACCACCCCAAAATAGCCACAATTCAAATACCACCAGTAAGGAAGGGACTAAGATGCTGAGGTACATTGAAGCAAACTGAAAATTTCTGGTTAAAAAAACAAAAAAAAACAAAAAAAACCCCAGCTGTTATCTCCTTCCAAGTAACTTATTTTGCCATCACCATAGAAAAATGGGAAAAAAAAAAAAATTTCAGGCAAAACCTTAATGAAATAGCTCAGCAGGCCAGGCTTTCCCAAGCCACCGTGTTTTTTCTGAAAGGGTATATTGCTGCTTTTCTCAACGGAGCAATACAACTTTAAGTACTTTCCATGAAAATAAAAGAAATTTATTTATCCACAGAAAAATACGATCAGACTATAATTGACAAAGCATAGTAACCTTTTAGCTCATCAGGAGACAAGACCGCAAGACAACGGATGCTTCAGATATCTGAGATGCTTTCCATCCTTCGGAAGGAAACCTGTTTGAATTAAGAGGCAGTCTACACTCGATGCCACTAAAACCGATGCTTTTTTAATAAATAAAATTGGTAGCAGACTGAAACTATGCATTTCTGAGTCAGCAAGTGGACAGCTGGGTAAGCACCATCAATACTCCTCAGGGGCAACTATGCAAATTTAAACACACGGGCATTTGATCTAGCTTTTACGGGCACGTGTCCTGCTTCAGTGCAGAGCGCCTGGTTCAATTTTGGCATTTTTGGAAACGGCTAGCTATAAGCAATGACCGGGATAATCAATAGCAAGGTCATCATGTTTATTTAAAGATGAAGTCCACGTGATTCAAACAAGGTCTAATAACCATCAATCTACTACAAATTCTTTCCTCTCTCCACCGCCTCCCTTCCAAAGGAGTCCGAGGTACA